TACTTAATTATGGCTAAGTAGGTGCTTAATAATGCCTGATCATATAAATGATACAAGTGTCTAACAAAATGATTAAATTACCTTATTATTCACCAAAATATCATAGTAATTGATATTTTAATTGACTGATAAGTCTTACATTTGCTTGTTCTTCACTATTTGTCTTTCAGTAAAATGAATAGTTGCTGTTCACAAGGTGAGAGAATATGGGGAAGAAAAATTAGGAGACTTGATTAATGAAAATTGGATTTACATTTTTAAGTTATTTATGTTTATTTAAAATTTAATGATGATGACCATTAATCTAATCAAATTAATCAAATCTAATTTGAAATGTAACTAGGACTTGCAAATTTTTCCCTTAACCAACAAATGAAATGTAATTAAAATTTAATTTATTTCCTTTAAGATTCCTGAGTATAGACTTTGGGGATTCCGATAGAACTGCCTATTATTTAGTCTGCAGCAGTTCAACTCTGGACTTGAATCTTCAGCATACAGTGAGGCACTATGGTTATTAACATAGAAGAAAAAACAATTTGGAAGACCAAAAGTTTCTAAGTCTCATAAAGTATATTTGTTTAGCTATTACCTTAATTTGGAAATTCTCAAATACATGAGAACTGATAGGAGATTAGAAATTTTATCCTTCACTCTTTGTGTTCTAAACTTCATCATGGTATCAGCTTGCAGTGAAACCTAAAGACTCTAATGAGATTAACATAAAAGAGAAAGAAGGGGGAAAGGTCTCTGGATTAGACTTTTAACTGGAGCCTATGGTGAGAAAATCCTGCTTCTGCTATTGACTTCTTCTACTCTGTGAGGTCACTCTGGCCTAGTTAAGTGTCTTAAACAATCTACATTATTTATTCACTATCTGTGCACCCATGTGACAGTTTCTAAAAGGAAGGCTAGAAAATACTAGTGATTATTAGATATTTTTCCATGTTGTGAAAAATGGGATTGTTGTGGGAACATAGTGAACAAAAAAGAAAGGCCCAGAAAGGATTTTTAGAAATGACTGAAATACTTACTGTAATCAACTGTAGGATGCATTCTACAGAATTTTCTAGTATTTTCTTTCATATTACACTAATAAATTCCTAATATAATTATTCTTTAATTACATCATTGACTTCTCATCAACATTTGAGAAAAGAGGCATGTTTTTGAAGATATCATACTGCCCTATCAATACTTATTGCTTGTATGAGTGAAGTATTTATATACAATCTATGTAATTTTTATATAGCCCATATTTTTATACATATTTCACATTGTAAAGTGCACAAACTTTAAGCACATTGTTCACTCTAAATACATAAAAATCTACAGATCAATGATTGAAGAATCTACCATGTTTGTGTGTATCAGTGATTAATTCTAAGGTAACTTAATAGTAAGATACTGAGTTTGTTCATCTCAATGAATTATTTCCAGCTTCTAGTTATTATAAATACTACTCAAAAGAATGCTTGTGCTTAAAAGAAATGAGCTTTCAAAACATGAAAAGACATGGAAAAAAAAAACACCCCAGATTGCTAAGTGAAGAGAGCCAAGATGAGAAGGCAGCATAATGTATGATCCCACCTTATGACCACCCCCATGGAGCTAACCGAGAGGTGAGTGGTTTCCAGGGACCCTGGGGGAAGGCAAGTCCTAACACTGGCTGTGGAACCTTGGGCAACTTCTTTTCCCTCTCTGATACATGGGTTTGACCCCTCCAAAACCTAGGGTTTGTAATAGAATTCCATCTACAGAGATGTCAGAAGGATTTAAAAGACTAAAAATGTAAGGACAGGGCCTGGGACTTGGTCAATGGACCTCATTTTAACTATTATCCTCTGGGCAGTTCTGAGCTTTAGAGAATTACTTTATACATCTGTGGTATCCCAGGTACACCTTTCAGAATTATCATCCAATTAACTCCTTTTAGTTTCCAGTGGGAAGGGACAGTGTGGCCAGTGTCACATAATTGGGAGGTGTGTCTAGGGAAGAGTAACAGGTCAGCTCAGATCAGGTGAGCAGAAACATAAAACACACAAATAATGGAACACAGATCTGGAAAAATCAGGGGCTGGCAAGGAGAGACAGGAATGACCAAAGCATGCACAGCTTGCCACTCTTGACACAAACTATGATAGAGAGTTCTTGAGGCTATTGATCAACCTGCAAAATGGAACTGGAAATAAGGGAGATAAATATGGACAAAGTCAGGGACAATCATAGGGACAGATTCTGGTTCAACAAAGAGCCAGAATTGAACCACAGCAGTATCATAAGAGCAACGAAGTGGGGCCCTACTTCATGGCTCAAGGGGTTAAGACGCAGCACTGCAAACTAGTTGATCCCCAGCCCCCGAGGTGACCCACATGGCGCAGCAGACCTCTCTTGTCTCACCCTCTGCTCCCCTCAGCAGTGTACTTTGTCGATCTGCCTGTTATGCTCCCCACTCTGTCTCTGGTGAAGTCTCTTACTGCCCCTGCACCTCTAGCCTATAGCCCAGCTCTGTATGCATAAATAAATAAATCTTCAAAAAAAGAAAAAAAAGAGCAGTGGAGTGACAAACCAGAGAGAAGCAGGCAAATCCTGCCTATTCCACCTCTCCAATGCCCCCTACTCATGATAACATTCCCATTCCTGCTGCCTCTCCCTAGATAGTTCCCCTGTATAGAATTACATTCAAAATGCAAAGGTTTCTCCAACTGACCACTGGGAAGGAACAGATACTCCTGAAAAAGTTGATAATAATGATTCAGTACAAGGATTTTGCCCTTTTGTGAATACTTAGAAAGTGAAAAAAATTATATTAAAATATTAATACCCATTCAATGGGCTTGACAACAGAATAAAGAATGAGTCGTTTCTTAGTTAATCATATCATATGAACGTCTTGAGTGACTTCGAAGAATACACCCATGTCAGTTGTGGACAACAAAGCTCTATTTCAAAGATACAGAAAAAATACAGTAATATAAACCTCACTGGTGACAAGTTTAAAGTAAAACTACATTCACTCATGTCTTAGTATAGAGGTTTTATTTTCCTTTTTAGACTTTATGATATACTTCTATAAAAGTCCTTTTACTTTTTTAATACTATATAAAAGTCAGGTTTACTGACCAATTTAATAATGTAGTCATCCATAGAATTTTTTAAATAAAATTAAATATATGAGTTTTATAAAGTGAGAAATACTTTTTAATTCATTTCCAATTTGGAAAAAGATTGAGCTATAGCAACTCAAAAAAAGCCAAGAGAACAGAATGAACCATATTTTGAAATTTTCACCATAGTCAAGCACAGTGCTCCCTAAACTATGTCCAACAAGAATGTTAGTAGCTATTGCATTAAAAGTTATCAAATAATCCTGGAAAAGCTGCCTGCTATATTTAATGCCCTGCCATTTAAAGTAGCATAAAGGAACTTACTTGACTTAGTTGATCCCATTTCTTCATAACCATGAAATTCTCTTTTCTTATTTAAAAAACTACACTTGTTACCATCTCAGAATTACAGTTCTGTCCTGTTCTAAACCAATATGAAATTCTGTTGGAATTAGTGGTAATTCATAACTTATAGAGGGCATTTCTTAGAAAAATAAAAATCTCAGTAATGGGTCCCTTTACAAGACAGTAATAAACTCTTGGAAATGGATGAGACAGCAGTGGTAGAGGGAAAGAGGGTGCGGATATAGGAAGTTCTCATTTAATGTCCTTAATAGAACATTAACTGAACAGATCTTAGAATAGTGTTTGTTTGTTTGTTTGTTTGTTTGTATTTCAGTGTCTTCCTTGGATCATTTTTCCTTATCAATGTTGTTTTTGAAATGATAATGAACAACATGTTCCTGGAAGACCTGTTGCACTGTAAATGGCCACTATATTTAAGAAAACATGGTATCCATCTTCCTCACTGAGACCCAGATGGTCATCTCTCCCTTTTGTTAACCCTCTGAGCTCCAAAGGTACCAGCAGCAAATAAATCTCCAAGACCAAGACACACATTACAATGATACTTCCTGAGTTAAGCAATAGGTATGGTATGATGGAGCCACCTGAAATGAGGGTAGATGGCGGGAGGCAGGTTATACGAACATTTCTAATAGAGGGAAAAAAACAGAAGAGAAACGCCAAACAAAAACAAAGTCCTGGGGCCCCATTCATCCTTTGGAAAATCAGCAGGGGGTGCAGACTGGTTATGTGGTACCCATAGCTAGACAGCAGCCTGTGGGAATGATGGAGTATGATAGTGGATGAGGCCATCTACCCACACAACTTAATCTCCATCATCTGGCATCCTTTTTCTAGAATGGCTTCATAAGGTTTCTTCTAATTCTTTAAAGTAAATTTCACTGAATATACCAGAAAGAAAAGGAAAAATAACAGGTGGTTTCACTTATAGCAGGAGTATAATGGACCATGCGAGAAATTATAATAATAATGAATAGCTATATACCAGACATACTTTATGAGGTGGAGTAGGGATGGGATCAAAAACCGTGGGGGGAGGGAAATGCACTGGACTATGGTGATGGCACACAGGTGATCTGGTCATGGGAAGCCCATGGGGATTACAACTGAGATGGAAAAATGCACAAAATGATGTAAAAGCAAGCTATTATATTATTTAAAAAAATTCACTGAATCTAGTTTAAAATTTTAAAAGTAGATTCAAGAATAAATCCAGGAAACAGCACAATTTAGAAGGGAAATGTAAAACCAATTACTTAGGTAAGTGTGAGCACTTTGGCTTTTTTATTTATTTATTTATTTTTGCAATATTAACCACAATAAATACACCAAATACAAGAAGTACATGGAGAAGACACCCCATCAAAGAGAAAATCGTGATGGGATGAATACCTGCGCTTTTGAAATGACACCAGAGTTTGGGTATAAAAGCATTCCTTTTTTCCTTACAATTTCCATTTGGCATTTTTCACCTGCTTAGCAGATCATTCTCAATTCAATCCAAGTACAAAGGTAAAGTTTACTTACTTGCACAAAACCACATGCTGTGAAGTCTTCAAACAAGGGTAGACTTGGCCGGTCTTCCCGATAGATGGTGAGTTTGTACGTGATCAGATTCTCACCCTGTGGTGAAGATTCATCCACCACAAGCACTGAGATTTTGTTCATGCCTAAGCCTAGAGGGTAGTTGGCAAAGCTGGAGCCAGACAGAGAGAGAAAGAGAGAGGTAGATATTTATTCAGACCAAATGGATTCATTCTTCAGTGACTTATTAAACACTGATAATCTATGTAAACAAGAAATAACATCTGTACATTCACATAAGAAACCCAAAATGTGGTGCTGGGGGGAATGAACCCTTCCACAGTACGTTGTTATGCCAAGAGTTATGTGGGACATCAAGTCACATTCAAGTACAGGGAAGGGAGCTATTTATTCACCCAATTGTGTCCTACATTATCTCATTCAACACAACTTAATACAATTGAAAAATATAGAGCACATGACACAGAACTGGGAAACAAATTGCCCAAAGACGTGGTAGTGTCAGATTGAGGCCCAGGATGGGCATACTCTTTTCTTAGCACTAATACTCTCAGCTCCCAGGGGAACCAAGCACATCCCCTTCCCGAGCTGGCTCATCAGTGTCTGCCCTGCCAGAAAACACAGAAGGTATGAAGATCTATGCTTCATTTCAAATTACGAACAAAAGGAGTTGGCAATTCTCAAAAGTGTCAGTAGAAAAAATCCCACTGAGGCTAGAAAAACGAGTGCTAGTATGTCCATATATTTTGTCAACATGCCTATGAAATAATCAACCCCTGAGCTGGGCCTCTTTGAAGGGCCCATGCGCTATACGCCTGCCAGTCTGCCATCTCCCCTGGGCAGCCTCCCATACCTGGGTCCCGCGGGTTCCTGCAGGCACACCTTGCACTGACACTTCGAAGCCTCTGCTCCGATTCTCACCGTGACCACATCAAATGGGACTTCAGAGTAATAATCTTTGATCTTTGGATTAAATTCAGGATTTAGCTCCAATTTCGGATGTGTGAAGATCTGCTTGATATAACATTGTGTATCTTTATCTTAAAAAACACACACACACACAAGAACACAGAAAAGACAACTGTGAAATGGATAATGCTTAAAATTATATTATGATTACGGTGTTATTTTAAAAATATTCCTTTGAACAACCTTTAGCCCTCACTGCTGATTTTCTTTTTGCCATTCTGATCAGAGTTGATTTGTGACTTCGGCTGGATTTTCTGTTTGTCAAATTTGGTAGACTTTGCTTCATGTAACAGCTGTTGCCTTTAGTTGGTTTTAGACAGATGATATTTTCTGCTCACCTTTTAAAACTTTAAAGGCACAGAAGGTGGGAAAATGTCTCTTTGGTGGATTGATAACATTGTCACGGCATTTACTGCTTATATCTAGCAACTGTGTAGAGGAGAGTGATGGCTCAATGGAGTGGTGACAGAAGGATGCCAGCAGGGATGGGAAAAATTTCTTTTGGCGAATGGTATTAAACTGCCATTGCATTGACATAGTAGCTCAGAGGCAGCAGGGTGGAGGGAAGAGTGAATGCCAATATTACACCAAACAGTCAGATACAGAAACATCCGCAGAGCATGCTGGGACCTCCCTGGGGCCACCGCAATCTCAGCAAGTACCCTGAAGCATGAAAGAGAAATCCATATACTCTGTCTAAGCCTGTGAGAATCCAGCAAGTTACTTCAGACTTGATTCTAAGTTATTTTTTAAGTGATTCTATTTGGGAGAAAAAAGGAAAATAACTTCATAGGACATGTACGAGTCATGGGTAACTTGAAGTTTGTCTTTGCTGGAATGTTGTTGCCTCTTAAGAAGCATTTTTGGACAATCTTTTCATTAATATTTCTTTGCAAGGCATTTGCAAAGCTACTTTGGAGTAAAATGTTTTTTTTATACATTAACACTGCAAGTTAGCCATGACTGTATATATACCTATGACATTATTTTCATTTTTCTTACAAATAGAAACACTGATAAAAATGAAAGGAGCCTTGCATTACATTTAAATAAATGTCCAATGATGTTTAGCAACACAGCAACAACAAAAAAAAATGACAGGATTTGCTGTAGGAAACTATACAATTGAAATTTTAAAAAGTAGATTATCCTGTTAATTGTTTTTCCTGTATAGATATTACAAAGATTTTTCTAAAATCAAATCTGACGGTTTATCTTCGATTTTTAATGAGTTCTCTTCACCTCTGAATCCAGTTCAAGCAACAGTGGAGTTATCTTCCTCTCCACCACCATCTCCCATTAGTATGGTATTTCTTAGATGTCTGGAGAGATGCACTCCTAAATTCATGGCTATGAATAACACCCACCTTATGGATGTTTTGCTCTAGGTTTGAAAACAAATTTGGGAGATCTTAATATAACTCATCATATCCTAAAACAATGAAAATGGGGGAAAAGAAAAATATACCTATATATTTCTGTTCTACCATACATAGTGTCCTCAACCATGGAAGAAAAAAACTACTGATATAAATTAGGAACAATAATAATAATGTATCAGATGATAATTTTATTGTAGGAAAAAGACTTATTGGAAAAAAGAAACAGCTAGCCAATTTGGTTGAATAACTCGATGAATTGAATTGGGTTAATCTGCTGAATTCACTTTACTTGTTAGTAAAGACTTTATCTAGATATTAGATGTGAGTATACCATCTATAATTTCAGGGGTCATAGCAACCCTTGAAATGTTATATAATAAAGGAAAAAGAAAAGAACAAGGGTGAGATTGCATTATTAGACTTCATCCTGAAAAGAACCACAACTTTTAATTCAAAATGAAGCACTTATTATTAATACACAGATTTTTCATCAACAATTTTTCCCTCCAACATATTCTGTTTAAAGTACTCAGAGAGACAGAGTAAACACAGGCTATGTTGGGTGTGAAATCTGATTCAAGTGGAGACTGTAAACTCAACATCACACTTTAAATAAGCTGGAGTTCAGGGGAAAAGAATATGCTTTCAAGAGAACTATTTTCTAGGCAGAAGAGGGAATTTAAACACCTACACTTTCAAGTTCAGGACCAGGTAAATGAATAATTGTTCAAAACAGTAGTCACAGAAAAGATGTACCCTTACTTAATAGGATTTTTTTTAATGAAAGTAGCATTGCACTATAGAATTATATAAGCTTCAGGCCTTCTTTCAGGAAAATCTACATGTGTATATATTACATTCAGTTCACCACTAAAAATCCAAATCTACCCTTCACCAGAAATTGTTCCCTTTGTCCTGATTTGCCCACCTCCCTCTTACCTTCCCTTCTGAGAAGCGCTGATAAAAGGATATCTGTTTTTAAAGTGGTCACTAATAATTCATTTTTCTTCAGTTTATACTCTCTGTTGATATGGATATTTCAATATGACAACCTTGAAGCTCAGCCCCGCTAAGACAAAACTGCAATCATCCTCTTATGCAAGAGTTTAACAAGTGCTTATTTCTGGTTTCATCAGAAACTCTACCTCAGCCTTCATTGCTGCATCCCAGACCCCTGCCTGAAAACTGATTTGCTTCTGCCATCATCCTCAACTGAATCATCAGTGCTACTGCCTCCAGACACCTGGTGCTTCCTTGGCATGCTTCCCAGTCCAGTTCCAACTTGTCTCAGGCCAGCTCACCTTAGATCTACGCAGGACCCAGCGTGAGGTATGGTGGTCACAGGCTGCTTAACCTATTTGGCAAGTATACCTGGGAAAGCTGTTTGAAGCTTTCATTGTTTTAATGGATTTCTTTTAACCACAGAATTTTATTGCCCTCTTGAGGCATGATCATAATTCATAACATACATGAGAAGAGCCTAGACACTAAAAGATAATCCCACCTGTTCTGAGGCATCATCAAGTTATTTCTCTAATCTTCTATGATACCATAAAAGTAGGAAGATAAATTGTGAAGATCCTGGTAGGACTAGTTTATATCCACAGAAAAACACGAACAAGGTGGAAGAGCGTTATCTATCATGTTCATAACCTCTGCACCATGTTACCTGGGAGCTGAAAAAAAATGAGATCTTCCCATTCAATCACTTCATTTCAAAGTGAGAAAATAGGAGCCTTTCAAAGTGACTTTCCTGATGGTGTATGTAACCCCAAGTCAGGCACACACAAGGCACTCAAGAAATGTTGATTCTCATCTTGCTCCTAGTTTTCACACTAGACCCTTTCCCTCTACACTGTGGGTGCCAGTCTCGCAGGGGAATTGAGTAGCATATAATTTTCTGGAGTACGAGAATGAATGATAAATGCAGGGAGGGAATAACAGAAGGAATAGATGGCATTTTTCATTAATTGGATATACTTATTTTCACTGCTATTTTTCATTAATTGGATATATTTGCTGATGCTTTTGAACTACATGACCAAAGAACCCACCAGTCTACTGTGATTTGAGTAATATTAAAATAATGAGTAAATTAAATTGCATTTTAGATGATACAAATTAGGCATCATTAAATTAGGAGAGTTTTATTTATAATAAATTAGGCCTTCATCCTACATTTTTATTTTTTTCAGCTTTAATATTTTGCCACAAATTTTTTTTTATTTGTGAAAGGCTCAATCATCTAAGAGCTTGTTTTAGCAAAAATATGTTTATTTGTAAATTTATTTATTGTTAAAAAATAAAACTGATAAGCAGAATTCTTATTTTTTCCATCATATTATTATATGATATTAAGATGATTCATAAACTTTGAATAATGAATATCAAAATCTTCCTTGTGATCCAGCTCAGGAAATTAATAGCTTGCGATGTGGGAAAAGTAAGTAAACTCTCTAGAATGGTAGATTTGTAAGACTACTTGATGAATAATGAACAGAAAGTCTAGATACTATTTGAAATATATACTCTAAAATACAATTTTTCTTGATCACACCTTGGTAAAAATCCATAAAGTTTAAGAAAGTAAATTTAAAATTGGCTTCAAAGCTCTCAATTGTTATAGGAAAATTTTATTCAAGGATTGTCCATTACATTAATAATCTGGCAGAAAGAGAACCACTGTGGTGGAATAAGACCCTAAAAATCAATCAGTAGGGGACTCCCTGGTGGCCCGAGGTGTTAAGTCTCAGCACTATGAAGCCTGTCACAGCAGCTTCAGTGTTAGTTTGATCCCCAGCCAGGGAGGTGACCCACATGGCACAGCAGACCTCTCCTGTCTCACCTGCTGCTCCTCTCAGCAATGTTTTTCATTGTATCTGCCTGTTCTGCTCCTCACTCTGTCTCTGGTGGACTCTCTCACCCCGTCACCCCCTGCATCTCTGACCTGCACCCCAGCTCTTAACACTTAGAGCCTCTTGAAACAATTTTGCAAGTCTCTGTCCTCAATCACATTTCATGTTTAAAAATAGAAAATTAAAAATGTCTTTTGCAGGCAAAAATAGCTATTACCTCATGCATAAATCTTTTAACTTAAATTATAGACGTAGTCTAAGGATACCAAATATGATAAAGTGATAATTTATTCAAAGCTGTTGTGCCTAAGTATTAATTATATGTTCGTAACACTTTAATTGGAACTCACCATTATCACAGTGTATTTCTTTGGTGTCACTCAGAAATTTTGGAATCACCACTAAAAAAACAAAAAATGTAAATTTAAGATGACAACTATTAACCAAAATGAAAAGAGTACAAATTCTGAAATCTCAAATAGGATAATTTGATCAAACACATATGTAGTCAACTTTTATTACATCACTAAGCACTTTGAAATTCAGTGGAAAACTACAATTAAAAATTATTTTATTAAATCTCAGAAGATTAGAGGATTATTTCAAATAAAAAAATTAAGGGAGAAAAATGTACAATGTAAATGTCATCCTTTGCTACAAATAGATCTATGGTGATTCGAATCTGGGATCTGCTGTTTATAATTTCCCAAGTCATTAGAAATACAGAAATTGCATCAAGTTGGCCCAACTGATATTTACTCTGGCTTCTGCATTCAATCAAACATCTTTCTAAAACAGTCCCCAATGAATATTTATGGCACACACCAAAGAATAAAAAACATTTAAAGAGGGCCCTCCCTGGGGGCACAGTGGACTAGGACACAGCACTGCAAGTGGGCCGCCACTTCAGTGCAAGTTCGATCCCCGCCTGCCCCAGAGGGGACCCACATGGCGCGGCAGACCTCTCCTGACCCGCCCGCAACTCCCCTCAGCAGTGTACTTTGTCAATCTGCCTGTTCCGCTCTCCACTCTGTCTCTGGTGAATGCTCTCACTCCCCACACCTCTGGCCTGTGCCCCAGTTCTGTATGCATAAATGAATAAATCTTAAAAACAAACAAACAAACAAACTCAAAGAGCTGCAGTTTTAAATATTTGAAAAGGAAGAAATGGTAAGAGAAAGAGAATCAGGACAGCGGTTTATCAGCGCTTATTCTGTATCTGCTGATGCATTCCTATTCTATCTGATTCTAGTGAATTAGTGGTTCTTAGGCCTTACGGAGACTCAGACTCAGTGAAAAGGCTGGTAAAAATACAGACTATTGCATCTTCTTTTCGGAGGTTTTGATTCAACGGATCTGAATTTTTCAGACACCTCTGGGGGTCACTACTGTTATTGTTGAAGGAGGTAAGGGGGTTTGTATTTACGTATTGAGAACAAAGACAATGGAATAGAAACTGATTTGCAATAGAAAACTAGGCACTTTTTTTTTTTTAAAGTATAGACACGTTAGTAGTCTGTTTTACTCTTAACATTAGAATTTTCTTTTTCTTTTGACAAAAAGCTAGTTAGATGACTTTTGGAAGGAAAAATGATATTTCTCTTAATTGTTTCATCTTAAAATCAGAAATAGCTCTTTTATCACATGAAGCTTACATATGAGGTTTGGAAGGAAAGAAAGAGAAAATGTAAGTGAGAAAATAAAAATGGGCATTAAATTTCCTTGCAGACTGTGTTGCTTAGAGTCAATTCTTCATTAAATAGTATGTCAAAAATATTCTTCAAAACATTGGGGTGTCTTTATATTATTTTATTGGCTGATGACCACTTAATTTACTTATCTAAATAAATAATTTATTATTTATATTTATTCATACCACTTAACTTACATACCCACTCCGTACTAGTACTGCAGGCATTTTCTGTTTTTTTTTTTTTTTCTCCTATTAATCTTTTGTATAATTTTTTGGTCTATCCTTAAGTTTTTCCTTACAATAAATATGTAGAAGCATAATTTCTAATATGGAAGAATAATTTTTAAATCTTTTCTTGTGTGTAGTAAATAGTCACTGGAACGTTTCATCTAATTGGTACACACAGCCAGCAGCAAGAGAATGCGTAGATGCCTGCACTCTCCCTATTCTCTTGAAGAGGAAATTTTTTTCCAAATTTGAAGGGAGATAACATTTCTTAGTTTAATCAATTTTGATTGCTAATGCAGCTAAACATTTTTGTGCATTTTAAAAGTCTTATTTCATGCTGACCTAAGCCGAACTATTTCTTTTTACCTTTTTTATTTTCAGTTGCATCCAAGGACACTTGTGGTTTCTCGATGGTCACATTCTCTGTGAAAGAATTCCTGCAAAGGCAATGCCAAAAAACAGCGGAGCCGTGAACTGGACAACATTCATGCAAAGTACCTCAAGCACACTATCTTGGCGGGGAGGTGCACAGTTATTTTGATGAACACAAAGAAACACTGGAGTTCATTCTTCCAAACTGGTCATTTCGCTTCCATTGAGGTGGCTGGAAAGCTCATCAACTTTTTTTTTTTTTTATTAAAAAGTTTATTTTTACATCATTTTTCACATTTTTTTTTTCATCTCAATTGTAATCCCTACGGGTTTCCCATCACCAAATCACCCCTGTGCCACCACCATAGTCCCGTGCATTTCCCTCCCTTCCCCCCCTCCCCCGTTTTTGATCCCATTCCCCACTCCACCCCCACAGAATGTCTCTGGTCTATGGTTGTTCATTATTTTTGTTATTTTCTCGCCTGTTCCATTATACTCCTGCTATGAGTGAAACCATCCGGTATTTTTCTTTCTCTCTCATCAACTTTAATCAACAGAAACACATTTGAGGAAAACCAGGGCAAAAGTCCTTCTTCAGTCCAAGAGTGAGGGCTTCCTGAAAGCTCATGTCCAACGCTAGTGATTCAGAGACACAGTCTTATTGGAATCTGATTGGCCAAAGTTACAGTCTTTCAATGAGAAGTAAGAAGGCTTGGCAATTCAGAGCCACAGACTGAGAAGGATGTGTGTGTGTGTGTGTGTGTGTGTGTGTGTGTGGGTGTGTGTGTGTGTGTGTGAGATACAAGAAATATGAGTATACCGTGCAGAAAATGACCTTTGTCTTTCCAAGGCTTCTAGCCTTAAACTTTGATTAACAGTAATGAATGGTAAGGGCCCATTATAACTTGGCATTGGCCACATTTGTCTGCTGTATAACTAAATTTTCCACCAGATTGCCCTTTAATTCCTCAAATTTGAGACCAAGATAATCTAAATTACAGACAGAAACTTTCTGGTCCCAATGAGAGAATACTGGGCAGGCTGTGACAGGACTTTCTTGTGTTGTGTTGTGAATATCCCAGCAAAATGGAGATAACAAAGTTGGCGTTACTTCACAGGAATGCTATGAGAATTAAATCCAATGGTCTGTGTTAAATTACATTTTATAAATATTTTTTGTCCCAGTTAAGTGCTGGGCACTGTAGCAGAGAAGAGATGAATAAGGCATATTCAATTCTTTCAAAATATAAACATCAGATAGGAACTAAGAAGAATCAAGGGGAAAAAGTGAAAAAGAATCAAGGAATTTAAAATATTGTCAATGCAAGGAGGTGTGATGATTTTACTGCAGTCTGTTTGTAAGAGACATTTTCTCCTTTGAGATATATGGCAAAGTAATTAGGGTGACAATTAATTAGGACTGTCTAGGACTTAATTTAAAAGAGCCCCCTCTTCTCAAAGAATGAAGTAACAGATAAAGTAAGCACAAGCTAAGATTTGTTTAACTAAAGTTTGGTTGTATACAAGGCCTTTTTTTTTTTCAGAAAAATCTCTGAATTTAATATGAAGCATAAAGAAATGAAACTGGAAAAAGCTCAATGCTAAAATGCAAATAAACTGAGTTTGGGGAATGAAATTATCAGCTGAATTAGGTACTTTGTATTAAAGGCATCCTAAGGGGATACTGTTGTCCAATTATTTTTATAAATAAATTATTTGATTTCAAAATGTAAATTTTTCAAGGAAGGAGCATGATTACCACAATACACTTATAACTTCAATTAATTAAAGTAAAAATTAGCAAAAAGTACACACACATTGGTTTTAAGATTTTTACTCTATTTAGGTTTAACCAAATTCTCGTGGGAATCTGGATTCTGAGCCTTGGTGCACAAACACACCTGTCATATTGTGTAACTTGTGAACTTTATCTGCTGTAATTAAGATACTCTAAGGGTGGGATGTTTGAATCCAAGCTGGTCTAAGTTTAGACCACTTTATGTATGTAGTCAATAGTGACCATGGTAAGCTCCACTATTGGAAGAAACTCAGTCTGGGTTAGGATTAAAGTCAATATTCTGAATTTAGGATGTCATTTACTTAACTTTCTCACACATAAAGAGCATAAGAAAATCTTCTTGGAAAACAAACTTTCCAAAACTGCTTGCACATATCAGGCCTATATTAAATAACCTATATTTAAGTAGACTCCGTGATACATCAAGTTTGTGCTTCTTCCATTGCTGATGGCAGACAGTCTAGGTTCATCTGAGTGCAAAAAGAAAGGGGGTATTCACCCATAGTAGTACTTCAAACTTGTGTTCAAACAATGCCTTTTGTCAAGGCATTTGTCAGTACTTACTTCCAAGTATTGAGAAAAGTCAGGCATTGCCTTACTTCCGCTGCATAAAAGAGAAGTTGATGGAATGTTAGGTGTTGCTCCCTTTCACCAAACTGAAAGGTTTCCATGTATCACCTGGCTGTCTCCCTCTTCATCCCTCATTGCCTCTTTAGAACAGTAATGAAAATGCAAGGTCAAGACCCTTTCTCCCAACCAAAACATTAAATACCAACAGACTTGCATACACAGGCATCTATAGTTCACCTCTTGTAGCTGGGACAGAATATATTTATAAATTTGGATAGGTTTTGCCCAAAATAAAGTCACCCATAAGGAATCGGTTCTGACGGATGGACAAAACCAGTTTCACCTAATATCTTTGTGTTTCAAGTTTAGGCAGATGATAGATAGATAGATAGATAGATAGATAGATAGATAGATAGATAGATAGATAGATAGATAGATAGATAGATAGATAG